TGGATATAGTGACAAGAAAAGCACGCCAAGAGGTATTAATAACTTCGTTTATCGCCGAGAATTCTTTCTTTCAATGTAGCTCTCCCAATTTAATTGAACTCTGCAAACAGTTGAGCCGCGATCAGACGGCACTAAACTCGTTGGAAATGTCCAGGACTACTGCATGTTATAAGATGAAATATGGGCTCGCAAAAACTATTAAGGAAAATATCATTAAAACTTTAAAGGAGACTCCATTTTCTCTAAATTTGGATGAAAGTACTAGCAATGCTCAAGAAAGTATACTGGCAATATTGGTGCAGTTTTATGACAACAATCAAAATGAAGTTGTAGTTCATCATTTTGCATCTCTAAAGATGGAATCTTGCAATTCAGAAGCTGTTTTTAAAGCAGTTGTTAATACTATTGAAGATAATAATATTCCATGGGCAAACTTAATTAGTGTATTAATGGACTCATGTAACACCATGCGTGGAAAAAAAAAGGGTGTTGAAACCAGACTACGATCAAACAAAGCACCCCACTTATTAGATATTGATGGTGACACATGTCACACAGCTAATAACTGTGCAAAAAAATTTTGCTTCATGTTTTGATAGATACTTAGAAGATTTGTTTGATGACATCTATTTTGATATGAAAAGCTGCAGTAAAACAGAAAATTTTTTCAAAATCTGTGAATCCCTTGCCATTAAAAAACTTAAGCCCTTGAAGAGACCAGACCATAGGTGGGTGTACATTTTATGTGTTTTAGAAAGAATCAAAGATCTGTGGGATGCTCTTATTGCATTTTATTTTCACTACTTGGATAAAACTGATAAAGGGGATTATTTTTCTTATGTTGAAACTGTATACAATAAAAGAAATATTTCTGCAGCTCAGAAAAAAATTGTTGAAGGGGTGTATTCTTGCTTGCATTCCCAACAACTCACAAAGGATGCTTTAGCTCGGAAAAAAAGAATACTAAATGGGTTATTTGTTATGCAAAACAAAACTTTATTGCATATGGCATTATATTCAGCAGTATTACCAGAGTTCAACACATATATTAAATTATTTGAAAAACAAAAAAAACCAATGCTTTATTTAATACATTCCAGTATTTATAAATTGATGGCAAAATTTTTCTCTTTTTTTATGAAGCCAGAAAATATAGAGTGCACATCTTATAATGATTTATTAAAGGTTGATGTCACAAATCCAGAATTCCATCTACCTAGCAAAGTAATATTTACTGGTGCAGAAGCTTCCACTCTCCTGAAGAAATTATCAAAAAAATCATCCAATAGCAAAAGAATTCCAAATTTCTCTGATGAAAGCTTATACTAATACAGCACAGCATATGAAACAGAAATTACCCCTTAAAAATTCATATCTAATTAGTTTTACAGCATTAGATCCAGAGCTAAGAGGTAAAACCAGTACAATATTAGCTTTTGAAAAATTATCATCTTTTATGTCCCATATTTTTAGTGATAATGAAAAGTCAAAAGTAGAAGCTGAAATAAGGTTATACCAGAGTGATATTGATATCACCAAAGAAATGCTCTACACATCTGATGAAAGTGGAAATCAAGTCAAGTGTACAATTGATAAATATTGGTCTAAAGTTTTTAATTTAAAAGATGATTTCACAAATGATTATAAGTATCCTACATTGGCTAAATTGGTCAAAGCCTGCCTTAGCTGCTTCCATGGCCCATTAGTGGAAAGTGCATTCAACTTAATGGATACACTTGTCACTGACTATAGAACCTCTCTTAAGATTGATTCCCTAGATGCAGTGCAGACTATTAAATATGATTTAATGGCTTCTAAAGAAACCTCATGTGAAAAATATGGCTCAAAAATCCAATGACTGATCCAATTCACAAAGATCTCTTACTGAATATGAACAGAAGTTGGAAAACATATCAAGAGGACTTAAAAACATGTATTTCAGATGAGTCACCTATATAAGTCCCTGAAAAACCTTCTACGTTAGCAGAAAAGCAAACTGCTTCTACCTCTGCATGTGCAGTTCTCGAGGAAATTTCTTCAACTAATTTCCACTACTTTTCTTGTACAAAATACATGCATTAAATAAGGCCATATATCTCTGCTCACAGCAGGATAATTTGATAGCATCTTATCCAGGCGGTCTACTTCTCCCATTTTTTGTTGTTGTAATCTTTTGCAATTATCGTTTTTTTTTTTTACAGTTCTTTTCTGTGTTTCAATATCAGTAATTGAGTTATTATGGACTACTCATCAAACATATATCCTTCTTGTCTTTCCACTTCACAACTTCATTTTTTCTCTTTTTCTGCTGAGTAGATGTTGAAGCCATCTTCCACTGTCTTTCATCTTATGCAAAATGGTGCGAATATTCATAAAACCTGGAGCAAATTCAATTGGAAATGTAATGCCTGATTAGTGCTGCCCTCTAGGAGGTATTAGAAAAAACAAAAATAAAAACTCAAAAAAGTAAACATTTAGAAAGCATTTTAAACTCTTGAAAGTTTTCAAATGAAAGATGAATGCTTGAAGCACGTTACGGCCGCAATGCAGAAGTTTCACTTGAACATGCTAGACGCGTTATGGATGACAAAGAGGTTAATTTGGACAATTATTTTTCACATTTATTTCATGGAAAACTCTCCGTGTATGAGCAAATATAGTAATTATGCTTCTTTTTCTGCTAGAGTCATATTTTTTTTAGTTTAACATTTGGTAGATTTAGAAATCTTTTAGGCTTAGATACTTAAAACATTCACTTTCAAAGCTTCGACTAATTTATAATGAAACATGATTTAGTGTAAAATTGATGTTGAGCTAATTTGTATATGTGAGCTCTCAAAGAAGTAAATACTTCTGTTGATAATTTTAAAATCACATGTTGAAAGAAATACTGTATTAAATTTTATAGGCAAGAATATGTGAAAATTAAAAAGTAATAGCTATGCATAATAAGATCTGTTGGATTTCTGATTAATGTTTTAGTTAAGGAAGGTCTAAAACATTGCAAGATTACCGCTTAAATTTAGTAAAAGGGATCCTATAAGTATTGTGATAGGGAAAGGAATTAGAGCCAGGTTCTCAACCTATTTTGCCCTGTACAGCCCTTTTATCATTGCTTGATGATCATGTGCCCCTCTTTTCCAAAATTCGAAAAACACATACAGGATGATTCACTACCAGTGTGACAAAATTTGCAGGTGAGTTAGGAGATGCAAAAATGATTTGGAATCACATTGCATTGCAGAGTCCGAAATGTCTTCATCATGCATTAGGGGGAGACACTCTAGATAGAGTGATTTTATAACAAGATCTGAATTTTGCAGGAGTATTGCAGTTTAATTTCCGTACTTAGATATGATGTCTGCATTTTCTGTAAACATGTTTAATATAAATGTGCTAAGATACATATTAAATAGTAAAACTGTGGAAGAAAGCTAAGTTGCTTTGAGCATTTTTTCAACTTTTTATGGTTATAAGGTTGTTTTGCACCATTCCTGTTTTGTAACAGTTATTATATGACTGTGCAGTGTATTAAGATTGGTTATTGTATTTAATTTATGCTTCCATTTATTTATTGCATATGTGCGGATTACATTTGTATTTGGTTTAAGAACAACTTTATTTCACTAATCCCCATTAACTGTCACTATCAATGACTTGTTAATATTGGATTAATTGGCACATGCCACTGTGGGGCTATGTACTTGTTTGTTTTGTTGCTGTTATCTTCCAGCTAGGGGACAGAGGAGTGGAGCAAGTTCTGTTCATTGGGTCTCAGATTTGGTGCTATTCTTTAGAATAAGTTTAGGGGCATCCAGAGTATTAACTCAGAGAATTTGTTAGATTTTTAACTAGGTTTGGAGAATTGGCTAGATGCAGTTAAGCTTCCTATCTGATCTCAAGATTTTTTTTGGAGTTGTATTTTTGCTTGTATAGTTGACTGACACAAGAATTGTCTTGACATATTTTCATCTTTTCTGAGCAAAGATGCAAGAACTCTGCACAATAATAGATGTTTATGATTTGGATGGAAACCTTTCCATTATCATGATGTCATGAATATCTCACCAAATAGGCAGCATCTGTTTTCGCTTTTCTGATCCAAAACGTGGATCCAGTTCTGGAAGAGCACCTTTGCCTACTTATTGCTGTTTATGTGTACTTTTAAAAAAGCATAATCTCTTCATTCCCAGTAATTTCAGAATCCCAGTGGGCAGTGTAGATTTTTACATGTTGGTATCATTTATATTCTGACAAATTTTGGGAAGAGTACCAAACTACAACTTGATGCCATGTACATGTTGTGCAGGCAATGAAGTATAACTGAATAGTTCACATCCAGGGTTTTTTCGTCCTTCATATATGATTATGCTTGATATCATTCTGCTGGCTGCTTTTATGTTCTCGTATCCATTTTTTTTTTTTTTTTTAAATCAGTTACCAGGACTTTATTTCTGTGTTTGATGTAATTTCCTTACTTAAATTATTTGAATGAGTTGTTGATACTTTTGTAAAATGCAGTGTCTTGTCTAAGTGCTTAACCTCCGTATAAATAAATTATTTTAAAGCGTACATGGGCATTTTATAGCATTGCAAAGCTACGAATCTCTAGCTGCTTCAAAATACTGCTTAACTTCGCCATTTAAAATAGTGGATTATATTTAATGGTGCAATTAAAACATTTTAAGAAGCAAGTCACTGTTTAAATAAATAATATTATTTACTAGTTAGTAATTGTAAATTGCATAAGTAAATATTACAAGTTAAATTTTAAGAACCTATTCATTTAACTAAAAATATTTTGCAAAGTAGTACTACTGTACTCACATGAGTTATCTGAATTGCACCACTGACTCTTAATTTTCAAACTGTGTAACAACCCAGAAATTGTATGAGAAATTGTAAAGAACTACCGCCCCAACGTATTTGTATTTGTTTCTTTGTGTAATTTCATTTTGAGGCATTATCAATTTAGCGACTGCACTTTTATTTATATATAGTTGGAGGCTCAGTGAATATCCGTGTCTACTGGTCCAATTTCGTTCAGGATACGGATGTTTTAATATATATAGTTGATTCGGCAGATGATCACAGACTTGCAGAATCAATTCAAGAGCTTCATAAACTAGTTGCCTGTGATAGACTAAAGAAAGTTCCAATATTTATTTTGGCAAATAAACAAGTAAGTTTAAATTACTTTTTAATGCACTTCAGTGTTGTGTAATTCTATGTTGTGCATAAAATAAAATTATTGTTAACTGTGTTAAAAAAAAAACCTAATGCATGCAATAACTTAAATTTAGCTAACAAAGTATTGTATGTTAAAATTGGCTGACTGTGTTTATGCATTTATTTACTTAACAAAGTATAATCATGATTGATTTAAGACTAAGTTCATTATATTGATTTTTATTATTTGCAGATATTAAGCTAGCTTATTTCTACCAAAATATAAAATAGAACATTATCTAAATTTGATTCTTATTTTAATTAATTTGTTTAGCTGTTAGCACTAGTAACAGACTTTAAAGATGGTTTCAAGCTGAACATGCACATAATTATTATCCTTGTTTTGATGTAATTTAGTAAATTATAAATGGCAACAGTTGATTTTTTTTACATTCATGTGTTGAGCTTTTTAGTTTTGTTGAAAGGGGAAAAATGAGAAAAATGCCTTTGAGTTGCTTTTCATGTGTATTTGAGAATTAATGAGTATTGTCTCATGTCATTTAAGTTTTGGGTGTTGTTTAAGCTATCAAAACTAAGTGGCCTTGTTTCTGCACATTTCGCTTGTGTTAGAAAGTTTATTTTTAGTAGACACAAATGCACCTTACTTTGTTTGGAGAGTTTGGTTGTTCTGACTTCTTTATCATGTCGTGTAGAAGCATTGGTAGAAAATATCTAATGAAGAAAGAGATTTTGAAAGTCTTTCTGATGATAACTTTGCTTCAGAAATTGAATCTGATGAAGAATTTCATACTGAAACTACATCCAGTTTATCCAATGAGGACTTGATTGTACCTACTGAAGCAAGTGAATCCGATTCATCTAATGGAGAACCTGTTCATGAAACAGTAAGGGAAACTAAAAATTTAGATCAAGATCACAAAGACTGCAAACTGATCTATTTTCCCTTGTTTCGGACATTATTTTAAATGCTTTCATAGAAAATTTTTTGAAATGTTATAAACCAGATAAAAATATAACAGCGGAGGAACAATTATTTTTTATGAAGACCCGATGCCAATTTATTCAGCATCTGCCCGAAAAAGGCTGGAAAAATTTGGCATTAAATTTTGGCTTGCTACTGATGTGAAGTCAAAATATTTATTGAATGGATTTCCGTATTTGGTAAAAGATGAAACAAGACCAGCTGGAGAAACAATAGATGAACATGCAGCTTTACGCTTGATGGAACTGCTGAAATTAGTAAAAGAAATGAGGAACTTGGGGATAAGCTGCGTTGGCACAATGAATAGTTCAAAAAGAGAAGTACCTTATTTCAAAAATATGAGGGATGAGCTCTAATCTAGATTGATAAAGATTGCTAAGCATGACAACATAAGACTTATCCAAGGGATAAAAAAACAAGAACTCGCTGTTCCTGAGTACCATTCGCCCAACATTGGAAATCGCATCTGATGAAAAAACACACAGGAAGTTGTGAATTTTTGCAATTCGGCCAAATATGTAGTTGGATGTTTTGGACCCCATGGCTAGCTAGATAATGCTCAGTTAAGTCCTCATCCAGCCATTTGCCAGTTCAAGTTTTTTTTTTTTTTTAATATTGTTGATTTGGCCGCGATAAATGCATGGATAATTTACAAGGAATATACTGACTGACAACTGAATATAAGAATATCAGCCATCGTGATTTTATTTTGAAAATGGCTGAGGAGCTTCGAAAGATGAACGTTTCATCCAAAATTCACAGACTGTCTGTATCTAAACAAAAAGAGAATTGGAACTTGCGTCAGCCATTCCCTTAAGCATAAATAATGTCAAATAACTGCATGCAGGGGTAACAAAATTTTGAATACGTGTGAATACTGTAAAAAATGCTTGTGGAACCTGTACAGGTAAAATTAAAAAATTAGTAATCTGTATACACTGCAAAACCGAGTAATGTTAGTACTAATATCTGTAATTTTAAATATATATTTTTCATATTAAAAATTTTTATGAGGCAATTTATTAAATAATAAGTTTAAAAATATCACAAATGATTTTCTTTCTCTTTTGACTCTCTGTTATATTAAGTTATCCTTGGATTAATATATTTACTCACTTTGCTTTGTTTTGCTCTTTGTTACATCTAAATTAGCTTTTTCCTGCACATATTTACTCAATTTACTTAATAAACTTGCAAAGTGTATCATATAAGCATTACTTTACATAATATTAGCAAAAAGCAAGCCTTTTCTTCTGTTTGGAAGAAGCTGTCAAAATGACCACTGATCGTAGTTATAGCTATACAGAAAATGCTGACCGCTGATCGTAGTTATACAGAAAATGCCGTAATGCTAGTATTAAATGGTAATTTTTAGGTAATCCAGCATTTTCCTCAGTAGTACTCTGGAGTAGTACAGCTGATTTACAGGAGTAAGGATGAGGATTTTATGTTGGAAAAAATCGCTGAGGAACTCATAAGGAGAGAAGTCAACATTTTGAGGTACATGTCAGTTTAGAAAATATCAAGGCAAGCATACTTAAACTTTTAACACAGATGAAGGGGGAAATAGAACTGAAAGTTAAATTTGAATTAAGAAAAAATAGGGAATATGAAGATAGGATCTTGTTATAGATTTAATGGAAAAAATAATAATAAAAGCCAGAAATTTAAAATATGGTCAGAAGGAGCTGTTTAGAGATAAAGAAGATAATGAGAATACAATTAATTGAGATATAGATATATATATAGATGAGATATAGTTATAATTCACTTCTGCAGTATTAAAAAAATAATGATAAATTTTGAAGAAATAAGTGATATACCTATAAATTTTAAAAGTAAGGTATTAGGAAAACATACTGTTAACTTTGACTAAATGTAGGCCGTTGAATAAATTAGATCGCATTAAAAAATTTATAGTGTAATCCAAATCTAAAATAATGTTTACTATAGGGAACGAGGTTAGAAAAAGCGGGTATCAATTTTTTTGCGTTCGAACAGTAAAATGTAGATATATTTCAATTATTGGGTTATATTATGTTACACTTAATATGCAACAGAAAAAACGGAAGCTTGTTACGGTACGGAAACCAAAGAGTTAAATAAAGTAGACAGTGCGAAGTTACAACCTCGAAAATTTTGATTACATTCAGAACACTAGTCAAAATCAAAGTGTTAAAGTGTTGCCTGAAAATGAAAAACCAAAGGAGATGTGTGAACCATGCATTATTGCCAAATGTAGTACAATATCTTTTTAACACACTCCAAAGTGATCTAATAAAAACCACCGCAATCGGTCGATTCAGATGTTTGTGGCCTGCTTTCAGTTCCATCTAAATGTGGGAGTAAATATTTCCTTGCTATTATAGATAACTGTAGTAGATTAGCAACTGTATATTGTATAAAAAATAAAGATAAATCGTTCAATAACTAAAAAAACTATCATGGGCAAATAGAAAATTTGATAAACAAAAATTTAATTAGTAAACATGCTGACTCATTTGCTACTGCTTTAACACTTGTTCTTTAAAAAGCCTTCTCTGCCACTATGCCTTTTTCTCCTTAAAGGGGGGAATATGTAAGATATAATAAAATACTATGGCTATGTTCAGAAATAATTTGCAGCATCCAAATTAACTATTCTAGATTTTATTTATGCTCTCCCCATAAGTTCATCCTTTCTTCCAAATTCGAGATCTTTTCAAATTACATAACACTGCTTGAGAAAGGTAACTAAAACTAAAATTAATCAATCACAGCTTAGCTTTACAGAAAGCAACTACATAACATAAATACAGCTTCACAAGGAACTACATTTCTTTTTTCCTGACTTCTGTCATGCAAACAACTCTGCGCCGCTTATGCTTTCCTGCCTGAAATGACGTCATATCTTTTTACCTGTGTATATAAAAATTATTGTATTCAGTGATGATTGAAAAGGAATTTGTCTGCCGAAAAATTATTTGAGATGTATAAAAATAAAGATGGTGATTCTTCAATTCAGTTTTGTTATCCGTTTCATCAAGCCTTCACCCTCAGCCATGTTTACAGCCAGACGTTAAACTACCAGATTCCTTCTGCACATTAAATTATTACACACACATATATATATATATATACACGTAGCGTATTTGGAAACTAAGTACCGTTTTCTAGCGCCGTTGCAGCGCTGTGGTGGGCGTCCTGCGCATGCGCACTAGACTTTCTTGTTCACTGACTTTCAATTGTCGCCATTTTGGTTGCTCTATGTTGTGTTTTCAGTTTGCTGTGCACATTCAAAATGTTTAAGACAATTAGTTCTCCCGCTGACTGTGAGATTCGTGCCGTGATTAAATTTTTGAATGCGAGGAATGTTAAACCAGCTGAAATTTATCGTCAAGTGACAGAAGTTTACGGTGAATACGCGATAAGTGATGGAATGGTGAGAAAGTGGGTAAGAATGTTTAATGCAGGTCGAACAAATGTCCATGCCGAGGCTCGGAGTGGTCGGCCTTCTGTTGTCACCGATGATTTGGTAAGGAAAGTTGATGAAGCAATTCATGAAAACAGACGCTTCACAATGACAACTCTTTCAGAGGCATTTCCACAAATTTCACGTACTGTTTTGTTTGAAAATTGTGTCTGACCGCTTGAATTATCACAAACTGTGTTCCCGATGGGTTCCACAAATGCTCACTGATGTTCAGAAAAACAAAGCGACTTGTAGTAGTGACCTGACATTTCTCACGCGGTACAGTGATGAGGGAGGAAAAAACTTTTTAAAACCAAATTGTGACAGGTGATGAAACTTGGGTGTGTCATTTCACACCAGAATCGAAACAACAATCGATGGAGTGGAGACACACTCATTCTCCAAAAAAACAAAAGTTCAAAGTGACAATGTCATCACAAAAAATCATATGCACTGTCTTCTGGGATAGGAAAGGCGTTTTGCTTACTGAATTTCTTCCCAGAGGTGAAACCATTTATTCAGCACGATATTTTGAGACTTTAACAAAACTAAGGCGTGCCATTCAAAACAAACGAAGAGGAATGCTCAGTAAAGGAATTGTGTTGCTCCATGACAATGCTCGTCCCCATACTGCTGGTGTCACTCAATCGTTAATTCAACAGTTTCATTGGGAGCAGTTCGATCACCCGCCGTACAGCCTGGACTTGGCGCCGTCCGACTATCACTTGTTCCTGCACATGAAGCGCGAGCTTGATGGCAAGCGCTTTGGATCTGACGATGACACGAAAAATGCTGTGGAGTCGTGGTTATCGAAACTGGCGGGAAGTTTCTTTGACGATGGTATACAAAAACTGGTCACCCGCTATGACAAGTGTTTGATCATTGGCGGAAACTATGTTGAAAAATAGTTTAAGACGTATTTTCATGTAAAAATAATATTGGATTCGAAAAAATTGTTTTACTATTTTTTTTTTCCAAAACAGTACTTAGTTTCCAAATACGCCTCGTATATATATATATACACACACTCTTGAGAATAGTCATCATGGAAGTTTTAATAACTAAAAAAAGAAGAGATCTGTGCGTTGGCTGCTAGGTTGTAAAATGATGAAAATCAAAAGGTAAAGGTCGGAACGAAAATGAATAAAATTCCATTCCTGAGATATGAAGGTCTAACCTTTCCTCTCCAGGCAAAAGTTACCAAACTGAGTAAATGCAAAATAATGAAACTTTCAAAAACAGAATCGTTAATTTTAAATTAAAAATGTGAAAAAAGAGCATTTTTTAAAATTACAGAACATGATATATAACAAAGCAAATACGAAAATAATTTATTAATTTCGTCTGTTTAGCACTTCAAACAGAATTTGTCAAGGGAAAAGTGTTTTGAAGCCTTAAACTAAGTTGATTAATGAGTTCCAGATACATGTTTTGTTTCTCTGAACCATTTGAGACTTAAAACCACTTTTCATTACCAAACTTCATTTTAAAACAAATTTCTAGTAGGTCTCAAATGCTTAGATCTTTTCCATGCATGCATTTGTACTCAAATTAAACCAAAAGTTATATGCGAATACTAAAAAATAGTACAAAAACTTAAAAATAGGCAAAATTCAAACTAATTATGCAAAACTAAATTAAATCTAAAAGGAAAATTCTAAAACAGTAATTAATGAATCAATTTGCACTTCAAACTTGCAAAATAAATTATTCAATCGAATTATATATAACCTAATACAAGGGCTGGCTCAATTAATTACCTGATAGTTTTAAGTAATTTATGCCAAAAGAGAATCAATAAAATATACTGCTGGAGCAATCAAAACTAATTATGAAAAATATGAAAAAACATACGTTTCCTAAATTTCCATCCTACCAAAACACTTCAGATAGTGGATACCAATAGTGTTGCAAAATTTGAAATGAACCCTGCTTAAGGGTTTACCAGACAAAGGGAAAAAGTAGAACCAAACGTATAAAACCAATGGAGGTTGAATGAAAAAGAAATAAAAACAGTTAAAAAGCTCACACTTTCTAGGTGGGATTCAATTGGTGGATAAACTGGAATGGGAGGGTGGTGTTAACTTGTGTTAACAATGAAGAAGGCAACTTTGAGACTAACAATGGCATCATAATCTCCCACAAGTCTTGTAAGAGAACCATTAAAGGTGGTGATGTATGTCTACAATCTTACGTTTAAAACTAGCCAAAAGTTCAGGGAAATGAAATGAGGTATTAACCCTTTCTGGCACACTACCTCTTAAAGTTGGAATTTCGATTAAAAAAAAGGTAAGCAATCTAATTAGGGCTAGAGGAGTACACAAGTAGAATTTTGTGAAGATAGTACTTATTGTTTTAATTCTGTGGGTGTGCCTGAAGTGTAAATTATCTTGTGACAGTAAATCTGCTACTGATTTTTGGAGATCACCAATAGAAAACAGTCAAGCAAAGCACGTTGATGTACTTTATAACTTTATTAGAAGATTGGTGAGTTATGGGTTGTTTGACCTTCCATGCGTCCCCAACGAATTAAACAATGCTGACTTGTTAATGAAAGCCATGACTTCTGTGTATTTGAAGTTTTGTTCAAGTGTTTACAATAATCAAGAAGAATAAATATTGTGTTCATGTTATAAAAATGTGCAGTTTTTAGTTGTATGTTTATAGGATAAATTTTGACTGTGCATGAGAAAAGTGGTCAGTTGTTTGTCTCATTAACCATTCTAAAGGCTCTGTGATTTTTTTCTCATCGTGCAGATTTTCAGAAGCTAGTTTGCTGAAAATTGATGTGATTACTGCTGATTGGTCGACGACATGGTTTCTGCTGATTGGCTGATAACATGTCAAGAATGTGTGAAGTGTGAAATTGGTCAACTCCAAACACACTATCGATTCTACTTTAGTTTTAATGCTGCTGCAGCCTAGTTAGTATCAGAAGAGTGAAATAAATGTTAGTTGTTGTTTTAGTCATGCTTCTGTGTTTTTATTTCTGCTAACGATGAAGTAGTACACATTTCAGCATATGTCTTAGCTCTCCCACTGAGAATAAGTACATTTTCGTGACAACCTGGGTTGCCTATTTCAGTGACATAATATGTAGCCTGGTGAATCCTTCCCAGGGTTGGATGGATGATCAGAAAATACAAAATTTTTATTATGAGTGTGTTAAGAGGGATTAAAAGAGATGACTGTGTGTATATTATTTCCTTAAAAATCTTGTAAAATTCATAAAATGAGGTTAAGAGTATTAGTAGTATGGAAGCAGTTTCAGCTGTGTGGGTGGGAAAAGCCAATAAATAAATTTTTACTTTTTATGTGGTTACTGAAAGGCTAGAACCATGTTAAAACAATGCTTTAATAAGTTTGGATTAAAACAACCTTCTTACTTTTGTAATTAAAATTCATAGAAATAGTCTTAAATGTTTTTAATAGCCAGACAGTGATTTATAGTATTGTGACCTAAATAAAATGAACAGTTGGCTGCTAAGCAAATAACATTTATTTTGTAACTGCTTCCTGAATTGTGAACAATGAAAATAAGCAAATTAAAGTGATTCAAATCAGTGAATGTTTCCTTGAATATCTTTGAGAACTGTGCTCATAATGGTATAGAATTTTAGTTTTTGATGAATAAATGACTAATTATAAATTTTATCTGCAGGACTAAAGAAATGGATTTAATTTTTACAGAACCATCTTGTCCACACTATTGAAACTGTTTCCATAAAATTCTGAATGTTACTTTAGAAAGTATAGCTGATAGTCTGCTGGTAGTTTAATATACTGGCATTTAAAATTAAAGAATAGTAATAAAAGTAAGGCTAAGTATACAAGAAAGTTACATGATAAATGTATTATAAAAGTTATCAATTATAAATCTAATATTATAAAAACAAGACTTGTAATCATTGTAAAAGTAACATTTGTATAAAAGCAAAATAGGATAAACTGCAATAATTCTGTAATATTTATTTTATGCTGTTTTATATACACATGTGCAGTAGTGTCACTATTAAAGAACCATTGTGAAGCATGCTAATTATAGAATGAGCAATTAAAATCCAACTAGTGTAATTATGTGCATTAACGACATGCAACTGAATATAAAAACAAATTGTGGCATGAATATTTTCACACAAAATATATGAATATCATAAAAGGGACATTTTGGTTTACAGATATAGTTTAGTGAAGCGTAACTTTGAAAATGATCATATGTTGTTAATCATGTGTGAAAGACATAATTGAGATCAGTGATCAGCAACCTTTTACACTTAATGTGCCAAAACATTCCACAAAGTTTTGAAAAATAGTAATTGCGTGTCAGTGTCAAAAACCAGTTATTATTTCTGCCTAATGCAATGCTTTTGAATAATCATCATTTATTAATAAAATTAGAAAAACCTATTGGAATGAAGCATGTTGAATTATTCACTTATGTTAATAGGATCATTGTCCTTTTTTAGTTGCTCTATGTCAGGACTGTACTTCGATACTTTTAGCTTGACACATGCTTCTGAATGTGAAGTTATCAGGCGACTTCTGTGTGGGTTCAAGACACATCTAATATGTGAGAAAACCTGCTCACATGTGTAGCTGGATCCAAAAGCAGAAATGAGAGCAAGTACTACCTTCTTCAAGCATGTGAAAGTTTCATATATAGATGCTCAGCACTTTATGGTTGTTGTAGAACTGTCATGTACAAGATGTTTGTATAATTGTAAAAATTTTAGCATCCATAGTTCAGATATCTTCTATTAGAATCTAGAATGCAGAAATCTACTAGATCTAGAATTCTGTATGTTCCATCTGTAAATCTTCAGTACCCATACATTCAAAAATCAACAGATAAAATGTATCAGAAGTAAAATTTATCAATTCATGTGTGATATGATAAGAAAACATTAGCCCATAAATTTGGAAGTCTTGTCCTCATATTGCAAACTTTACTTTGAGTGCTTCCATATAGTGCAAGAGCTCATATGCGTTAAATTCATGATAGTTGAGGGAGCTTACATTTGGGAAGTGCTTGTAATTTCTGTTGATACTTAATATGTCTAATTTTGATGCAAAACCCCTGCCAGTATTTGTAAACTGTTTGCCCCTTGCATTCAAAATGCTTTTCTTTTTCTTCTGCGTATTGAATGTGTTGTAACATCACAACAAAGTGCAACTTATACAGGAAACCTTCAACAGCCAATTCTGGGAAATGTTATTTTTCATCAAGGAACAACTTGATTACATCCGAGCATGACACAGAAATGTTCAGTACCTTACCTTGGTTAAGGCAGCAAACATTACTATACAAAGGGAGATTGCTATAAGAGCTCTGCATTTCTTCCAGTGATGAAATGAACTAACTTTCTATGTTTAAGATAAAATAAAATGGTAAACTAGTATTAATTTACAATTCAAACCACAAAAATCAGTGTTATATTTGCAAATTTTTGTGGTTTGAATTCTAAATTAGTAACTGTCTAGTGTTGATGCAGAGCAAGACGCAATGAAAATCGCTATATTGGTTTAGTTTATTTCATTATGGCAAAGCACTCGAGAAGATGCCTTCATGGAGGATTTTCTAAGCAAAACTGCATTATTCACATGTTACAAATGGGAAAAATCATAAAAACAACCATGGAGCCAGCCTGTTTTGCTTTAGTTAAACTCTGGACCAAACTACCAGTGTTCAGAGAATGTACTGCTCTGTTGTTGGTGGGCCTTGAAAGCCACTATCTTAACAACAGTTTCCATCACAGCATTCGATTCACATGCTGGGATCTTTGTACACAAATTCTGTTGACTTATAATGCAAGCTGAAAATGTGATGGCAAATATGATCTCCAAGAAATTTTGCAAAGTCCTTGTTCATGCCAACTAAAGCAAGAGCACGATTAGTTGTACCTTGAAATGGAAGCAGCACAATTCCTCATAAACATGGTAGCCATAATAATGAACCACTTTATCTAACAATACAATGACAATCTTCAACAGGTCCACTGGCATCAGAAACCTTTGTAAGCAGCTTGTTTGTTTTTCAGATGGATTTAATGGAGGCATCTAAAAGATCAATGAAATCTTCTGCAGGTATTTTCTAAATACAAAATAAGTGTGTTTATTTGATAAGTTATTGAATAAATGTTCAGCAGAATTAGGGCTTTTTAACAAATTCTCCATCTGTGAACTGTTTCTCCCTTAAAGCCAAGCAGTAAGCAATTTTATAGGCACCCCAAAACCTTTTTGGGGTACCCTTCTGGTACCCAAAAAATACTTTCCTTGGTATATGATGGCTCATATTTGTTTTGGAAGTGTCTTTGTACATTTATGTTTGAATCACCACACTTTCACAACACAAAACAACAGAAACAGCAATTTTTGTTCTCTAAATCCATGCTCACTTTTTCAGGACACTTGAAGAACCCACCTCCAACCAAGCAGTGAAGTTGCTGAGCACTGGTAGTTTGGTCCGGATTTCAAATCCTTTCAAATTGGCTAGTTGCACTAGCATTTTCCTGTTTTTCCTGATGTGTAACATGTATAAGAGCCAGTTTCCCTTAGAAAGTCCTCCCTGAGGGCATCCCTTCCCTTATGCATATAGCTCTTGAGTGTTTTGCCATAATCATATGAATCCAAACTCTTGGGAAGCTTGAAAAGAACAAGTGTCTAATTTGGGGTTTTTTAGTGGACATTTGGGTGCTCTTTAACCAACAGAAGGACAAAGCACAAAGGAACATGCTGGCTAGAAGACTAAAAATTAGAACCTCTCTGTCATTGCACACATACACTTAGGTTGCATCAGACTCTGTGACCCTCCTTGAAAACAAACATACTCGAGCTGTGGCTCACAAGCAGTTTGTAGTAACTTGCACTGGTTGAAATTTTAAGCTGTTTGTTTATTAATTGAAAATATTCAAAACTATATTTATGACTTTTTGTAGATATATTTCCACATTTTTTTTTTCACATTAACAAATACCAAAGATACTTCTAGGGTTTTTTTTTAATTATTTGTTCTGTATGCCATTATAGATCATTCTCCATGCTACATCCGTAACCCATTCCAGGGTTGCCAATCGCTGATTTAGATCATAGTTTTCATATCTCTTGATTCATCCACCTTTTGATATATTTCTCCTCAGAAACCCCTACCTATGCTGCAGTGAAAGGTTAGATATCTTTTGAGTGTAATCTGTGGACACTGACTAAAAATGGTTTAAAAAATTAGGTATCTATTGCACTTGATGAATTTATTAATTAAACTGAAAATGCTGTAAGATACAGAAAGGTAATGCAGTGTCTGCAGTGGTCACAGTACCTGCAGTGGTATAATTAACATGTTACTTTTGCATAGTGGATATCACTGTCATTGCCAGTAGGGATTAGTTGTGCTGCTTTTAGAATATTAGAGTTGTTTATTTTTTTCTTTGGGAATAGAAGAGAAAACACGTGTGCATTTTATAGCAGCATGTGTGAGGAATAGCACTGACATAATTTAGCATGATTCTTGTAAAGATGCATGATTGTAATGTTTGTATAATCAAATGAATATTTAAATCTTTATTCAAAAGTATTCATGCAACCATAGTTTCTGAGAGTGTTCTTGATGCCCCACTGCTACCCTTGAAACTAATAAACCTTGGTGGTATTTGTTTATAAATAACTAATTTTATTTTTTAATATTTGGCAAATTTGTGGCCTTGGCTACTAATGTTCAAAATTAATTTATGATTAGGAACAGCATGAATTATAAACAAATAGCTAAGTTATTGCATTTTATTTTCCAGCTATCGAAATGCGACGCTACGAGCAACGTTTTGAAACCAAAACCTAGCAATCATGAATCAGAACTAGAACTAGTTGCCATTCAGCATAAAGAAATTTAAATATAAATAT